TCCCATAAGATTAAATCTTGAACCTTGTTGCTTTTTTAGAGGGAGATTTAAAGTTTATAAGAAAGTAATTACACGCCTGAAGATATCAAATGATCCAGTTTTTGTTCCCCGTTGTCTTCTGTATTTTTGTTGTATCTCAAATGTATTACAGAATACAAGCATTTTTTTCAACACATGAGCCAAATAAAAACTCTAATCTTGGTTAGTTGGAACTTTGCGCTTCTAGACTAGTTCTCAACTTCCCTCCTGCACATTCAAATTCCCCATACTAATAAAGTGAATGATACGATCCTACATCGGCTCGACAAGAAATTGTAGAGTGGTAGTTAAGCTTGGGCCAAACCTTCATTTATAAGTTAACTTTTGTGGTGGAGTAGGGTCTTGACTTGAGTGTCACATTATTATTTAATAATAATAATTATTATTATTATATAGCTACCTTGGTAAATGAATAAGACAATATAAGAATATATTCTCCTCTCTTATTTCCTTTTCTGGAGTTTGGCTGTCTCTTCTTCCCCCACTTGACTCCTTGACTCAAGACTCTTATTCCCTTTTCTGGAGTTCGGCTGCCACTCAAAGCACATCTATGTCTCTTCTTCCCCACTTGATTCAAAGAAGAACAACCCATAAAACGATACAATCCTAGGGTTGTTTCAATTGGTGATCTTGTTGAGAGTATCAACTCAAAAACAAATTATTTTTGGACAAATTAAAAAAAAAAAAAAACAATAAACATAGTAGTACTCGTGGATTTGCATATCAGCTTCTGGAAGATGTCTAATTCAATGCAGTTACCGCACCCATTCTAGAATGTTCACTTGGTTTTCTTCATCAGCAACATGATTAGATCAATTGCTTTTCTCTCACGAGCTATCTCCAATGTCACAATGTATGTCAAAGTTGTACATATATGCTTCCTTGCTAGCCTTCTCTGAGACAACGCATTCGAGTGCTATGTAGTCTATGCAAAAGCCATAACAAATTGCCTAAGATCTACGTTGATGGAAGCAATGAAAAAAAAAAAAAAAAAAAACAGAGGCCCATGCACATGAAAACTATATAGAAACAATCCACTTTGTACTATCACCTTGAGGACAAGGTGATTTTGATGGGCGCGGAAATAATACACCGTACCAATGGTGTAATGTTATTATTATTATTATTGTTGTTGTTGTTGTTATTATTATATATAGCTACCTGGTAAATGAATAAGACAATGAAGAATATATTAAAGTTGTCTAGTGACAATCTCCCATCTTATCTCCTTTTTTGGAGTTGATCGAGCTACCACTCGAAGCACAATCATATCTCTTCTTCCCTCACTTTCTAGAGTTTAGCTCTTGATTCGAAGAAGAGCAACCCATACAACTTCAGAATTGTATCAGTGATAAGCTGAGCTTACCGTGAATTTGCATGAGCTCTCTAGACTCCAATAGACTTCGATCACCGTAGCTCTAGTCATCCTCCTTGATCTGGATGAGATCCAGTCTACTGCTAATGTGGTTTGGTATAGGAGATCGATCGAGGTTGAATTTGATCCTACTTCTACCCCACTCTTAGTTGCACAAGTCTACTTCTTTTAACACACCATGCATCTCTACTTGCATCCGCCAATCTTGTTTGAAAATTTTACCTAAAATGGTATTTTGAGTGGTTTACCCAAATATCAATGCCATCCACTTCAAATTTGGGTTCTCCTAAATGAAATGAAGAAATAACTATATTGTACGCTCAAAACGGATCGATAATGAGTGAATAAGAAATTGATTCTCAAAGTAAACTCATTTAATTTGAAAAATTAGAGCTTGAAAAAATCCTTCGTTAAAACAGGACTCCCGCACAAGACTAGCATTAGGTTTAGCCTGGTTTTAGGTGGGCTAGGTTGGAGATTCCTTTGGCTAGGCCCGTTTATCTATTCAGCTACTAACACTTAGATTTATTTACTGGTTTATGTTGATGATATACAAATAATGAGCAGGTGACAAAGGTCCCTGGACTTCTATTACAAACAAAGTAGTTGTTGTCTTCAAAATAAGAGATATGAGACTACCGAGCTCTTTTTAGGAATAGACATAATTAACAACAAGGGGCGATGATCTTGTCACAAAGAATGTATATTATTGAAATACTCAAAAGGTTAGAAATGGAACATTGCAAACCCATCTCAACCTCAGTTCCAGTTAATAGTAAGCTAAGTGCAACAACTACAAGTCAATCGTATGAAATCCTACACAGTACTTCAACCTTGTTGAAGCACTTCAGTGCATAACCATCACTCGTCTGGATCTCTCCTTTGCAGTTAACAAACTTTATCAGTTCATGCACTCATCCAAACACTAAGCATTGGGTGACACTCAAATTTGTTCTAAGGCATGTCGAATGTACTCTAAACTATGGACTCTGATGATATCCATGTCTTCTTGGATTCTAATTGGGCGGGGTGCCTTGATGATCGAAAGTCCACTAGTGGTTTTGCTGTCTTCATTGGCAAAAATTTAATCTCTTGGGCTTGTCGTAAGTAAAAGACAATGGCTAGATCTTCAACAAACGTAGAATACAAAGCTATAGCAGGTGTCTCAACAAAAGTAACAAGGTTAGTTGTTCTCATTCGTGAACTTGGACTCACAGTAGCAAAACCACCTTGACTTTGGTGTGAGAATCTTGGGGCTACGTATCTATGTGCAAATCCCATTATTCATGCACAAACTAAGCATGTAGAAATAAACTACCACTTTGTTCGTGACAAAGTAGCATAAAAAAGCCCGCTACAAGAGAACTACATATCTACAAATGACCAACTAGCATACATCTTCACAAAACCACTCACCACTGCTAGATTCAATCTTCTAAGAGACAAGTTCAATGTTTTCTTTAGAGAACCTTAAGCTTGAGGGATTGTATTTGAACTCTGTATTCCATCAGTTTTAGGATTCCTACTCAATGTTCTCTCCGAATAATTGTAACCATACTTTTTCCAGTCCTGCTCTAGCTAGGACTATCTCTTGTATCCATATAAATCCTTTCATGTACTTTGTAGATACGTTTTATCAATAATAAAACAATCTCTAGAAATTCTTGTTCTCAAAACAAATTTAATACTCCATTCGTCCCGAATTGGTTGTCAAATTTGTTTTTTGTACGCTTTTTAATGAATTAAAGTAAATGCTATGTGTTTTTCAATTATGCCCCTCACTTTTCTCACTTATGGAAATAAAAGCAATAAAAGAAAGCAAAACTCATAAGGGTAAATTGGAAAAGAGTTTTTTCACACTTTTGGCCCCACGACTATATGGCACTACCAGGATTGATCCACAACTTTCAAACTTTGCAATTTTGGTCAACGACTATTGTTTTTGTTGCAAAACTGGTCTTTTCGGCACATTTTTCTATCAATTTCTCACCGGAGAAAAAATTTCCCCTTTCAAGCAGGGTTAAAATGGACATTTACATTGTTGACTTGTTATTCTGCTGACCAAAGTGCGAAAAAAAAAAAAAAAAAAAAAAACTAATTGCGAGAGACGAACCTTAATCTTCTCTCATCTCATCAAAACAATTGCGAACAAGAGGAAAACATAATGGCTACATCCTATGCATCATCCTCATATTGTAAAGAGAGACTAGGGCTTTTGACGAGGAAATTTCAACGACACAGTGTAGATGTGGAAATGAATTATATTGAAGGTGATCACTTCATGGACAAATGAAAATCCTGGGCGAAGATTTTGGCTATGTTCAAACAATGGAATAAGTTTCACTAACTGATTGTACATTCAATATAATTCGTATTAAGTTGTTTATAATTTTTTAAAATATATTTTGAGGTTGGTATTGTAGAGTAGAGGATGTGGGTTCATAGAATGGTTTGACCCTCCTATGTATAAAAGGTCAAAGAAGATCATTCCAGTGATGCTTAAGAGGTTGAATAAACAAGAGGAAGAGTTGAAGTCATTGGAAATGAGGCTCAGATTGGCTGGGAATGGTGCAAGAACAATGGATAAATCTTGGTTTAAGAGTAGACACTTTAAAGTTATAGTATTGGTAATTATAGTTGTTGTTAGTATTACTGTATTAGGTTCTTCAGTAGTGACATAAATGTACCATCTAATTGTAAAACCTTTGAATCAATTGATGTGAGGATTTGGAAGCAAAAATGTTTTGCTTTAGTTGTGTTTTTCAATTCGATCTCTGTAATGGAATATATTTTGCATTGAATGAAATGGTTCTTAGTTTTTGTTATGTTTGCTGCCTAATCTGCTGTGTTATTTTGCTATATTCTGTGTAATGGTTATTTTGCTGCCTAATCTGCTGTGTAATGAAATATATTTTGTTATATTATGCATTGAATGTACCATATATTTGGTGCCTAATCTATTGTGTTATGCTCATCAATTCTGCCTAATCTCTGTTGTGTTATGCTCATCAACTACTGTCTAAAAATCATAAATCCAATAGCATTCCAATAAGGTTCGCAAATTGTTTTGATGAGATGAGAACAGATGGTTTGATGAGATGAGAGCAGATTAGGGTTCGCGTTGCAATTGTTTTTTTTTTTGTTTTTGAGTTTTTCGCACTTTGGTCAGTAGAATAACAGGTCAACAGCGGTCAACAATGTAAATGTCCATTTTATCCTTGTTTGAAAGGAGAAATTTTTTCTCCGGTGAAAAATTGATGGAAGATGCGCCGGAAGGACTATTTTTTTCAACAAAAACAATAGCTGTAGACCGAAATTGCATGGTTTGAAAGTCGTGGATCAATCCTGATAGTGCCACTATAGTCGGTGGGACCAAAAGTGCTAAAAACTCATTGGAAAAACTAGAATGATGGTGATGTTCAATTTTGGAGAGTGGACAACATTTTGGGACAAACTAAAAATGAAAGTAAAACTCTAAACATGTTGCACGCTTTTTGGACTGTCATATGTGCAGGAATGTGGTCGAATCAGCCCTCCATTTGTTCGTTCACTGTACTGAGTCGGCAAGCATTTGGATAAACTGGGAATGGCCTATATATCTGGTTTTGCTGGTAATTATATTTGTGACTGGTTTTTCTGGACTCTAAATTGGTTGAATGACTTTGCTTTGCCTAATTTTGTTATGGTATGCTGGGGACTATGGTGTAGCAGGAATCATAGGGTATAGAATGGTCTTGGCTTTGATTCAAACACGGTGGTTCACATGGCTTTAATTTGGCGTTTCTGGAGAATTGGAAGTTGGCGAATGAGGTATCTACCCATTCCAATGCTGTTGCAGGCCATCCAACACGCTGGTCTAAACCTGCGTTGGGAAGGATTAAGCTAAATTCTGATGCAACAATATGCCAAGGGTCTAACGTCATGGGACTAGCCTGGGTACTGCGCGACGACGAGGGGAAGTTTCTAGCTGCCAAGAACACAGTAGTACCTGGGAATTACTTGGTGAAGGAGGCTGAAGCTTTGTCTATTCGAGAGGCCCTGAGTTGGTTAATAAGTACAGACATGGGGAGTGTGGATGTAGAAATTGACTCACAAGTCGTGTTTAATGCTCTCTGTTCTTCATCTTTTAGTTTTGCGTTTGGTCTTTTGATAAATGATGTAAGAGATTTAGCATTCGCAATTGGGGATGTTGAATTTCATTTTGTTGCGCGATCTGCGAACTGTGTTGCCCATGCCGTTGCACGGGAGGCCTTTTCGGTGTAAGGTTGCGGGAAGTGGCTGGACTTTGCTCCTGTGTTCCTGGTAAACATTCTTGATCATGATTTAATTGATTAATCCCTCTTCTTAAAAAAATGAAAATAAAACAGATAAAATGGGACAAAGTGATTATTTTTCAAAGAAATTTTAATATTTGACAATTAATTTGTTATACCTTAGGAAATGTAATATTTTTCAATGTAAATATAGTGTATTGGAACAAACATATAATATTTTTTTTAAAGTAGTTATAATTTTTATTAAAAAAAATCAACATTTCAATAAATATGTAATATTTCTAAATAAAAAGTAATTGTATTAAAAAAAAATGTAATACTTTTCAATAAAGTACTGCTCCATATTTTTTTGGAAAGCTGCTACTGGTTCTATTACATTGTAGTATCTGTTCATATACTTTCTCAACCTACTAAAACACAAAAGAACCAATATACTTTCTCAACCTACTAAAACACAAAAGAACCAATAACGCCTCCACTGAGGCTCAAACTCATAATCTTCCAAATGAAAGTCTAACCCGGATACCATTAGATCACGTAGTCCTAGTACTCCATATTAATGTTTAGTATATAGAATATTGAAAAGATACATACCCACCGTTTGATTACTGTCCTATTAGTTTTATTCCTAGATCAGATAATTATCTAGCTCATACTTTAGTTTCTAAAACTTTTAATTATTCTACTTCTATGTACTGGGACTCTGTCAGCTTACTTCGAGTAAATGCCACACCGACTCCTTTCAAAAAAAAAGAAAAGATACATCATCTTGGAGAATACGTAATTAATTAAAAATCAATGAATCAAACTTCCTCGGTTCGTTTTTAGATGTGATCAAGAAAAAGCAGTTGAAGCTAGCCACCTCATGTTAGATCTTCTTTTCCAAAGTGAAGTCTAGATGCATTCTTCCTCATCATCATCACCCAAAAGATCCATATTTTGTGCTCTTTACCCACTTGTATTAGCTGTTGTTTTTTGTTCTTAAACTTGTAGTGGCATTCTAGATTGTCTCTAATCACACCTCATCATCTTCTATAATTGTCATTTAGTAGTCTTCACTCCAAACTACACCTTTTGTTGGGTTTTGGCAGAGTTCAGTCCCTACTCGATTTAAGACGTAATTAAATTGTTAGTTTCACCTACTTATCATTCATTGATTTTAAAAAGGGTATAACAACAAGACGTACAACGAAAGTTTGTTGGGTTTTGGTAGAGTTCAGTCCCTACTCGATTTAAGACGTGATTAAATTTCATTGATTTTAAAAAGAGTATAACAACAAGACGTACAACGAAAGAATTCCTGTAAGATAACTTACTTGAGAAATAAGTATAGTGTAACGCGCTGAGATTCAACATTTTTCTCATTGTTTGTGAAGTATAATATATACATATAGAGAGAGAGATAGATAGTTTTAAACACACACACTCTCTCTCTAAACTAGCTTAGTGAGGTAGACATGGATAAAAATGGAGTTCAAGTTTCTAATGCCCCCAACAGTGAGTCACCACCACCGTCGTCGGCACGATCAGCAGGTAGAAAGAGGGTTGCAATATCAGAGGATAATAGCGATGGCGGTGGTAACAATGTAGAGCGTGCAAATCATGGAAGAAATAATTTATGGAGTGAAAGAGAGAGAAGGAAGAAGATGAAGAACATGTTCACTATTCTTCACCATTTGCTTCCTCACCTTCCTGCTAAGGTAATCCAATCAACATTATCTATGGTTGTATTTTGGCATCCTAACCTGTTTAGTTGGCGTGAATGATCATACCCTTTCATTCCTTAAAGAGATCGGAAGTTCAAAATATCTATGATCAATACTTTATTCTTTAATTGGGCCATTTGGACCGGCTCAATCTGAACGGGAATTAGTTTGACTGACTATTTGAGTATTGTACACAACTTAAAGGTATTTTCTATAGTTAGAGTCTACTCAAAATATCTCATTGTCTTAATATGGAGTCTAACGAATGATATTTTTTAAAGATTCATTATTTAGTATATTATAAATTAATGGATCTTCAATAAATAAATAATGAACTTGCAACATATTAAAAATAAATATTTATTAATGTGGACCATGACCCAATCTCCCCCAACCCCATTCAAAAAAATAAATAGAAAAAAAAAAAATCTTGTCTCAAGGTGCCTCAATTTGATCACTCTAACATACATCATTAATTACCTTAACATTTTTGAGTGAATCTTTCACAATTATAAGGAGTTTCCTATAATTGAGAATACTATAATGTAATAGAATCGGTATCACTAAAAAAAATTGAATATAATCCCAATTTTGTCTTTTTGATATCTTACCATCCTAGTTACAACCTCATACTTCACCTACAAGAATGAGATGTCAATGTTTTTATACCAAATTAAAAGAGTTTACGTCATATAAAAAATATCCCCTTCTCTTTTCCCAAAAGTGGAACTAAAAACAAACCTTCCCCCAGGTTTTTCGCATTTTATAAGTTGGTCTTAAATCTAATTAAAAATTATTCTTCTCACCAATTAACATGTAGTATGATGACATCCGGGTTACCAAACTCTTTTTCACCGTTTATTTTATCTTTAGTAATTTTTAATTATTTTTAAATTTGATTTTTTTTTTTAGAAAATTGCAATTTTTGGTCCTTCAATTATACCCGTGGTACAAACGTAGTCTTTGAGTTATATGAGTGACCATCTTTAATCTCTAATAATTTATGCACGAAGTAGCGATTTTAGTCCCTCGAGGACTATTTCTATCACCAATTTATCACTTAACAAAGTGGCTAATTTGATTCTTCAAGGACTAAAATTAATCGTCATCACTCCATACATAACTTAAGGGTTAAAAACGGTTACGCATACAACTCACTAACTAATTAAGTCTGTACCATGGTATAACTGAAGGACCAAAAGTACAATTTTCTCTTGATTTTTTTGTGTTTAATAGTAATTTTAATGTAGTTTTTTTTTTTGAAACATTTAATGTAGTTTCTAATAATATAAATTTTATATACTAATATTATAATTAATATTATTAAAAATCAATGTTAACATTAGGCGCCCCCTAGGTGGCAAGGGGCGCCTTTTTTTTAATTATTTTAATTTTTTTTTTAAATTAAAAATAAACTTAAAAATTAAAATTTTTTAAAATTTAGTAATAAAACATAAGGTTTCCATAGATCTCGAAAAAATACGTGATTTGAAAATTTTTTTTGTCCAAATCGGACAACCGAGTTAAAAGTTATGCCTTCCGAAACTTTTCCCACATTTTCAACCAAAAAAAAAAAAAAAAAATCCCCCGAACCGGCCGGCCGCGGAGGAGGCCGTCGAGGCCATTCCTCGCGGCGGCCTCCCACCGCCTAGCGCCTAGGCGCGATTTTTGCAACACTGTAAAAAATTAATGTTCATCAAGCCTTGTTAACCGAATCAGACAAACAAAATGAGACAGGTCCAAGGGAGTATCATATTTTGTTAGTGTTTTCGAGATGAATTAATTTGAGTTAAATTTTGTTGAATAGGTTGACCAGTATACGATTGTTGATGAAGCTGTGAAACATATCAAGACACTTGAAAACACCTTAAACAACCTCCAAAAACAAAAGGCAGAAAGAGTAGTCCAAAGTATCAAAGCAACAATGGAGGCAGTAGCTTTGGCACCCAAATTGCCTAGTACTGTCTATAAAACTTGGACCTCTCCCAACATAACACTAAATGTGTGTGGCCATGATGCACACATCAACATTTGTTGTTCTATGAAGCCTGGCCTCCTAGCTGCCCTTTGTTTTGTGCTGGACAAGTATCAAATTGATGTCATATCCATTCATGTATCATCTCATCACAATAGGAGCATGTACATGATCCATACCCATGTAAGTCATCATCCATCATCCTTAATTATATTACACTATACACAATGTATTGACAAATTGTACCTATCTACCGTAAATTGTGGATCCTAGTCCAAAATAGCCTTCAAATTCCGTATCTACAAATTGCAGTTGACATATTTTGCACTTGCAGTTAAGAGTTTGTGTCTGTAGGTACATAATATATTAACTGCAGACACATAATATGTTGACCGAACATATTATGTGTCCGCGGTGAACATATTTTGTACTTGCAGTTAACAGTTTATGTGTCTGTAGTTAACATGTTACGTTATGTGACTTCAATTTATTTATAGACGCATAAACTCTTAACTGCATGTACAGAATATGTCAACCGTAGATACAGAAATTTTGGACCAGGGTCCATAATGCAAGGTGAACCATGTTATAACAATTGCAATGTATTACTAAAATTTGCTTTCTTTTAAGTTCAATTTACAAGCAATATAATGTTATCATTTTACATACATATTTATAACATTATTGATTCAGGTGACAGGAGAATATGCATGTCAGTTCCCAATTGAAGAGATATACAAGCAAGCTGCCACAGAGATTGTAATGCTCTGTGAGTAGAATCCCAGCTAGTCATCCATATTGCATGCATGCATGCAATATCCATCAATATCAATGTAAAAGTAGAAATGCCAATTTTCTGTTAGCATATGGCAAGTTTAATTTGCAAGAGACTCTGGCCTCATAATTAGCTTATTCTAAAAAAAAAAAAAAAAAAAATTGTTTTTGTCATTACAAGAGGAATAGCTCTTCTTACTACAATTGTCTGTATAAGTTAGGGTATTTATGAATTCCAAAGATATTATTAATAAAAGTAATGTTTATAGGCATGCATTTGCGTGGATCTTAGATGTAAATATATATATTATTGGCCATTATCTTATGTATTGTTTGATCCAATGTTGTATGTATATATACTGGTGGTTATGAATGAAAACTGATGCTGAGCAGTTTCTGTATTACCCACCCCCCCCCCCCCCCCTCTTCCTTTTTTCTTACTTTTTCTGATCTTCTCTCTACTCTGAGTATGGTTCTTGAGCATTGTTGATTATACATAATTTCCATGATGATATACAATAAATTATTCATAACACGTTATCATGGGATTTATACAAACCCAAAACTATATATCCTTTAATAATATTTTAGCAAAATTGTGATGTATCAAATTTCTCTATTTCATGCTCATGTTGGATATTTCAAGTTTTCTATGAGATAGTAATGATAACAAGATTGCAATTGAGTGAGATAAAGAAGACACATATAGAATTATTAAAAAAAAAATCAAATAATTTAAAACACTAATGGATGTTGACGAACAAATTTTTCTAGAGACTAAAATCATAACTTTATTATTATTATTAAGGAATTAAAAATGCAATTTTCATTATTATTACTAATTATTAATAGAGTTAATATCATCCGGATCCTCCGAGTATAGTGATTTTGCAACGTTTAATCCTAAACATTCAAATTGATCATCTGTGGTCCTTCAACTTTCAAATTTAACCATTCGTGGTCCAAGTTAATCACCCATTAGTTTTAAGCAATAATATAGTCTTGGTCACGAACCGAACTGTGGTCGTCCGTACATATAAGCAATAATTTCTTGAAGAAGAAAAATAATAAAATATTTAATTTTAAGAGTAAAAATGTTCATCTAATATAAAAGCGAAAAAAACTACCACTTTTAATATAACTGAGGGACAAATATATAGATACACGAATAACTGAGAGAGAAAAAATGCTATAAACATATAACTCATGGGAAAAAAATGTGTCATTTTCCCAAAAAATAAAATAAAAAATTGTGGCCGTTGTTGTATTAGCAACGGCCACAAAAGAAAAATTAAAAAAAAAAAAATGCTATAAACATATACCTTCATTGTTTGTGCTAAAAGTTTCTCTACTCTTTTTCATGAGAATGACTGATTGAGAGGTCATAAGGTTATTCATGGTTATCAGGTGGATGATGGTGCGTCACTGCTTTGACGGTACGGTATCGATCTCATCTTTTCTTTGTAGATGACAACTTATTCCTTAAAGCTCATTGATGTGTATGAAATAGTTGAGGATCAAATTATTAATATCAACAAGTTAGTTGAGGATCAAAGACTTGAGCATAATCCTATAAATCGAGCTAAAGAATGAAGATTCCTGGCCTGTGCATCAAGTAGAGAGAAGAGATTACCCCCAGGCCCCAGGAGAAAATCAGATGTAATCACACAATAAATAAATAAAAAAAAGAGGAAAGAACATTGAAATTTACCGCCACAGCATACAAATTTGTAAAAGACGCCACTTCTGCTTCAGCAGTTCCAATGAATTCCTTTAGTGTCTATCAAGCAGGTGAAAGATGAAATAAATTAGGATCATAAGTATGAGTGTCACAACTTCAACACAGTTATCATGGCGCTCTGTTAAGTCGCGGCGCCCCCGACCGCCTTGGCGACAAGTTAAAAAATTATATATATATATATATATATATATATATATATATATATATATATATATATATACACTCCGTCCCACTGCCATGTCCCATCTGTCCACTTCCATGTCCCATCTGCCCACTGCCCTGTCCCATTTGCCCAGCCCCTCTGCTAATATAAACCAAAAAGTAACAATGGGCAAGTGACTGGTAAACTATAAGGCCTCAGCCGGAAAAAAAAAAAAAAAAAACTCTGAGCACCAAAGAAAATGGAGAAGCCCGAAGAAGATTCACGAGTCACGGCGGTGGGACGGCGACGGCAGGACCTGAAATGTCTTTTCTCTCTCTTCTCTATTCTACCATTTTTTTAAAAATAAAATAAAATGGGTCGGGCATTTGGGTTTGGACGCCGGATCGGCGTCCAAAGGCGTCGCCTGGGACGCCTTGGCGATGCTGGAGCTCGCCTCACCATTTCAGGCGAGGCGAAGCCTCCAGGCGTCCTGTCTCCACCGACAGGACGCCAAGGCGTCGCCTTGATAACTATGCTTCAACATATAAACCTTTTTGATAAACTCTCTCTCTTTTTTTTTTTTTATATTGTTTTATTTTATTGTTTACATATAAGAAGCTAAAGACTAGGTGAAATCCCGTGTTGGCATGTTGGGTTTGCATTTTTTATGCTTGAGACTAGGTAAAGATCCCAGTCAATTGGGACTATATAAGATTATACTCCCAAATTATAAGCTGTGACTACAAGCCCCCTTGGATTGAAGAAAAATGCCATCATAACAAAGCCATTAAATCCAACAACCAAGCATGCGATTGTAAACAAGCAATCCTACTTGTAAGCCCTAAAATGTCAAATTCCAATCTCTCGTGGATCTCTAATCCTTCCTAGTACTGCAATTGTAATAAAATGACTCAGAGTATCTAAATATAAAAATCCTTTCCCACACAACATAACTCTTGGAAGTTAATATGAATATGAAGATGGTGCATATAACTATGAGGCATGTAAAGTCTAATACTAATATGAGGATACCTTGAGGAAAGTTTCAGATACAGGGCCATCACTCTCAGATGCAACCAGTTCCTGCTTTACTTTATCAAATCCCCTGGTAATGGTCTGCATTTCGTCTGCCAAAGCCTTCAATGCAATCACAAATCAACTTTAGGCATTCCAAAAGCACCCAATTTCCTTTTTGTTTCATTATTACAAACATAAGGCAGGTGACTTTTGAGCTAGAGCCTGATTGTAGAAAGGTGTTTGGTAAATTAGTTGTTAGTTGATAGCTGTTTGGTATAATTTCCTTTCTCAAAAAACTAATTGAAAAGGTTGCTTTGAGCAGTTTTTTGAATTTTAGCATTTTGGAATTGCAAAAAATTAATTAACTAAACACTTATATTGATTTTTTAACCAAATCAAAAAGCTAACAGTGGTCAAATAAGCCAACATTGGCCTATAGGCTAACTATTTTACCAAACAAGGCCGTCACCTAACACCAATTTCGGTGAAGAGGTGCAAAGAGGTTGAGGAAAAAAAAGAAAGAACATTCAGCCAGAAAGCATATAAAGACTTACAACAGTAAAGTTGGGAAACACATGGCATATACTGACAATATAAAACAGGTTAGGAAACATAACCAAATCAACCATATCCTACCAGAAGTGCAACTTGGTAATAGTTATACCCTTATTTATTGGAAAATGTTTGCACCTTAATATTATTAAGATTTACTGAAACACATTTTAAAAGGGCAAATGACCTAAAAAAAGCCAAGTTTTTGGCAAAATTACAATTTAGGCCAATCTTCTTTTTTTTTTTTTTTTTTTTTTGGCCAAAATTTAAAGGCTGTTGCAATTATGGAAGAATATATTCTTTCTATTGGTCCTATGCCAAATGAGCTGGATGCCTTTCTCAGTTCTTTTTCCCTACTAAGCACTCAAATCCTTAACCTCACGCCATTATCTCTCTTTCTCAGGTGTAGGAACAATATAATGGATCTATGTGTTGAGTCCAATATCAAGCCAAACAAGCTAGTCCACAAATGAGAAGTGCACTGTAATTGGGTTGTTTGCAAACACCAAATCAAGAAATCTTATGAAAAAAAAAAAACATCAGGTGCTTCGTTAGACATAGTGAATACTTCCCAAATTGCTTCACTACTAATGAAGTCTCCACTATTTTTCTGTAGAAATGAATTTTAAGGGCTTTGAGAAAACAATTCACAACTCTCTCGGTCAAATCTCCTTTCTTGAAACATAGCTATATATTGGATCAGTCAGAGAAAGAATGGGTTAGATTTGGACCTAGGACTCAAATGCTTAGTTGGAAAATAACATGTTAGCAGGGTCTTGGGTCAAAGTTAATCAGGTAGAATTTGGCAATAATTGGAATGTGTTTCAATTTTGGTTACAATTGATAGATATTACTTTTTAATTTATGCCACAATTGCAACAATTTAAAGGATTGGGCAAAAGGTCTTCCTTATTTGGATATTTACCATTCAAAAACCATTGTTTAGACAGCCACATATAGATAGAAAATGCCTACATGACTTACTGGCCAAAATCTTACAATGAAGCACCCAAATTTTGCATACTAATTGTCTATATTGGTACCCACAAATTAAAATGCTAAAGAATTAGCATGTTGTAATTAGTAATCATATTTTTCTAAAAAAAAAAAAAAAAACTTAAGGAGAATAACTATTCAAAATACTACGTTATGGCCACTCCAAAATGAACTCTATACCCACGTAGCACGACTTATTGCATAAACTGGTACTTTATTTTAATTGGATTTTTTTGGCCCAGATTTATAATTAAGTCACTAAAATTACTTGATGGCTATTTCACTGGAGTTTTTGTATGATAGCCAAAAAAAAAAATGCATGATGCTTTAGAGACATTTAACTTATCAGATGCAAACTCTTTTCAGTGTCACTTCAGTTTTCATCCTAATGACTTCAGCATGGATGAAATAGATTAGATCTTTTTGAGTGTGCATGTTTAAAGCTTCAAAAACAACATTTCCAGGCTATGAAAAGGCTGGCAAAAGTACAAAATTGAACCCAGCTGAAGCCCAACTCACTGTTTTATGCTACAGGAATGATAGAAATTTTCAATTAGTTTCATCCTACTCCCATTCAACTGGAAATATTTTACTTCTTGAGATAAGAGCAAGCCCAAGAGTGGGTTTTTTTCAGGCCAACAAGGACAGAGAATAAGAGGAAAGAGTTGTCGGGAAAAAAACAAAAAAAAAAAAAACAAACAAACAAACAAAATTAATGCGCCTGTTAGGCACGCTTGGTGCGCCAAACGTGCACCAGGAGAGCTGCTTTTTTCTTTTTCTTCTCCTCGCGGGTACCACAAAAAACCACCACTACTGCAAAAAATTTTTTTCTTCCTGTTACGAAAGTAAAAGAGAGAGGGTTTCTAATGTGCGTCGTATATTGTCTCAAACTGTCTTATAGAAAAGAGAATACAAAGCCCTATAAATAGGAGCTAGAAGACTACGAATAGGAAACAAGTTTCCATATGCCCTACCTACCTAAAAACCCTAAACTGCCTAATATATAGAGATTCTATATATCATATATATATTCCTTAACACTTCCCTTCTCTCCCCTCCAACTCACCCTCTCTCATCCATCAAAGCAAAAAAACTCAAAAAAAAAACCTGATGGGGTTGCTCTAAGTGTTCATGTAGTGCTTCAATGGGACACTGATGGGGATGCTCTAAAAAAAGATGTTGAACATATATGGTCTGCACATCTATGGTTATGTATATATGGAAATAGTTTTGATTCATCTCCCCGATAAAGGAGCGCATGCCTACATATATACAAGAACACCTTTCTCTGTAACAAAAGGTATTTAGTAATGTGAAAGAGGATTTCAAATAAAATATTGGGGCTGAGAGTTTAACTGTATGCACAGTGAATAGGAATAACTAAATACTTCTTTTGAATAAATAGCAGAAAAAAAAAAAAAAAAAAAAAAAACAAAAACAAAAAAAAAAACAAAAACAAAAAAAAAAAAAACAAAAAACAAAAACAAAAAAAAAAAACAAAAAACAAAAAAACAAAATAAAAAACAAAATAAAAAAACAAAAAACAAAAAAAAAAGGTGACAAATTCCACACAAATAACATTCTGGAAATTGAGAATGTAACAATACCTTACAAAGATAATGCATGAGTGTCATCCTGTTGCTAGCACCTGTATCAGTAAGTTTTAAAAGACTATCCAACTTAAATCCAACTGCAGCACCTGATGACACATAAATATAGAATTTAGTTCAGCGCGAATGGCCATTTGAAAAAGATATTTGAGACAAGATTAAAAAAAAAAAAATAGTAAGATAGAAAGATGCCTCTCCAACATAGTTAAGTAAATATAAATAAATAAGATCTCAATATGATATTCTTACCTCGGGCTGTTCCTTGATTTAATGTGTTTACTAGATATAATATCTTCTTCATGATATCTTTAAATTTGACAGAATTCCGTACCTGATACTTGTAAAAGTTATTTACAGAAAAAATGAATTAAAAAGTAGGGAAAAAAACATTAAGAACAACAATTAAGTCCAGCAACATCAGTAAGGTACCTCTTCACAAGAGGAGTTCACCCATGTCAAACTTTTTCTGAAATCTGCGACCTGAGAAAAGAGCCAGCTTTAGACAATAATGAAAACCAGGAATTCATACAATATATAGATGCGTAAAACCTGCGTGTTGAATTGAATCTTGAAGAGAAAAACTTTTAATTTTGACTCCACTCGTGGCACCTTTATCAGTTCCAGAAAGAACTGAAAGATAAAAGGGTAATTAAATTAAGAACACACAATTCTCTTATCCATAATCAGATTCTAACACATTCAAAGAACTATACAGAATATTAAATATAAAGATTAAGCAGTTAAAATTCCACAACAGCAACATAGATCACAGTTAAAAGAGCAATATAGATCACCATTTCAAAATCAATTGCAATAGAGAAACAATAATTCAAATAAGTAAAAGAATACAATTCGTGTAAATAAAAGCAGATTTTTACTGAATAAAATAATTTGTTGTAACATGAGGATTCTTGATTGGAGTACCTAAAGATATTGAGAGTAAAATAGAAGTATACATTATTTTCATATTTTTTGAATATGTAAATTTAATTACATAAGAAAGGCACCAAGGGGCAAATCAGTCTCCATACTTGTAAAGTAAATTTCAGGGTATGTGAAAATTATACAATGTACTATATGCAAAGCTGACTGCAACCTATTTAGAATTATTACCCTTTTTGCTTTCATTGCAGCACTAAGAAATCAGTCATGAATTTGTTAATACAGCATTTACATATTTAGTCATAATACCCATGCTGTAAGAACAACAAAAACAAGCAAAAGTAACAGATTCATCATATCCATAATGCCAAAATTATGTGAAAGATAGATAGGTGTGAGGAAGGAATATCTTTTTGACAAGAGCAAGAATCTTCGTTTTGCAACTATTAATATACAATTATGTTTTAGGTGCATGCCATTCACAACTTGAGATGTACTATGTCACATTCCATGTTTGTCTAAGCCTAAGGAATTTAAATCAGCTTTGCCATTCACACAGAACAGTCATATGTATATGACTGAACACTATATGTTGAAGTGTGTTCCACATTGAAAAATTATAGAGGACGATATGGGTTTACAATGTTATGGATTCAACCATTTAGTGTTGGCTTAACCCGGATGCATTACGGCCCAATTTGTTCCCAAATACATCCCCTACCACTAAATTTCAATAAATTTCATAGAACATTTGACAATAAAGATACCAACCATCTTATACAAGCGACAATGTCTCCAAATTTCCAGGCATAGTCTTTATACAAGTAACATTGTTTCCAATTTCACCAACTATTGGAAATTGTGAGAGTAGAGAACACAAGCAAATAAGAGCTACAACTAAGTGAAGCAGTGCATAGACATAGTTTTTAAATCCTTTGTTACAGACTTACAGCCTAAAGAAATTGGAACAACACAAACAAGAAATACATAGACGCAATATAGTAGCATCATAGATACAGAGCAACATAGAAAATGCATACTAAATTATCTGGTTACAGACCTGTTCACACTTCCCTAGCATCTCCTTGTCACCGGTGTAATTCTAGGCAACCATGATAGCAAAAAGTCAACAAGCATAGAAAGCTTATAAATTATTATAAAGATGATGGATATACGTATGTGTGTGTGTGTACATGCATGCAATAGAACATCAGAGATAAGAGAGGATGGGAAGCAGAGATGCAAAGAAAATTAAGAACAAAAATGGAAATTAAAATGAGCTCACAGACAACCAAAGAAATAGAGCTTCAGACTGGTTAGTTTCACCTTAAGTTGATCCATCTCTTCTTTGGTGGGACAAAATTTTATAAGGTTTTCTACTTGATCAGCATCCAAAATTGACTCATCCATTGCCAATGCAGCAGCCTACACAAGTCATTCAACAATGGACATTGAAGTTCAGTAAACAATTGAATGGAAAAGTTGAACAAATGCACATATCTAGAGAAAAAGAAAATCCTTGAATAAGAAATTTGCAAATAACTCAAGAAGCATAGTTCCTTTTCTTAAAACTACCAATTAAATATAATAGTTTCCAAGTAAACAGAGACTGAGAGGTGCAGACTTAAGATATCCTCAATGTTTAATTCATGCTCTTTTTATTCATATTTTAAATTAGAATAGATGTATTTGGTCAAAACATTTTATCCATGGAGCAGTAGTTGTAAGAAGTTAATAAATTTGGGTTAAACACACCAGAGAGAAACATAAAAGTGAACAAAACTAATGTTGAAGAGAATAAACAGAGGGATTTGGCATCAGAAAGATAGAATGAATCAAATATTAATCTCCTGAGGCCTGTGATAGCGTATGCTAATGTCCTTGCCTGCAGGATACCAAACACTGGAAGTTGATGCCTTAGAGGTTTGAGGAGAAGTAGATCCCTCAGCTTTAAGAACAAAAACATTTTTAAAAATGGTTTCTCTTAGAGTTAATTCCAGCATTGGTCCTCCGACTATCATGATTTTCCACAATTGGTCCTCGACTTTTAATTTGGACAATTTAGACACTTGACTATCAAAATGTTTCCAATGTTGGTCCTTCCGTCACAAGCTGGTTAAGTGGACGTTAAATGGAGGAGTAAAACAGTCTTTTAACATACTCTGCGTATAATACCTCGTCGTTCACCTCTATATACGCGATAAAAATCAAAATCCCCAAATTCTTTACGCCAAAGACAGCAAAATTCCCAAACTCTTGTTGCAGGTGTATGTCATGTAAGATGAAGCAAAAAGAGTATTTTTATTCAACCAAAATACAAAATCATTCCGATTTGTGGAGCTTTTTGTTAGAAAATTTATTGGAGGCTCAAAATGGCCGAAACTATGACATTCATGTTCACTGCCATTCTACAGCTCTACTCCTCTTCCTAATGTTTCCCCTCTAAAAGCTTAAACCCCTCTCCTCTTCCCATTTCTGCAATCAATCTAACACCAAAAGAACTAAATTTTTAATGATCCTCACAGAATTTCATACAAATGCTAACAAGTTCAAGAATGAAAATGCTTCTGAATGCAACAGCCCCCAAGTTCAAATTCCAGGATGTTGAGAAAGAAGATGTAGAAGAAGTTTTTATTACTTGCTTGTCTCAATGAGACAATAGATAAATATATACAGACTAAGAGACACAATCCTAATAGACACAACCCTATACAACTTCAACAGCTATATTTCTACAGACACAACTTTTGTGTTTCAACACTCCCCCTCAAGCTGGAGCATGTATATCATATGCACCAAGCTTGTTACAAATGTATTCAATCCTATGACTTCTTAAAGCTTTAATAAATATATCAGCTAATTGATTATTTGAGCCTATAAAAGATGTAGTAATATCTCCAGAAGTAACTTTGTCTCGAACAAAATGGCAATCAATTTCAATGTGTTTCGTCCTTTCATGAAAAACTGGATTTGATGCAATATGCAAAGCTGCTTGGTTATCACAAATGAGCTTCATGGACTCCTTTGTACAAATCTGCAGTTCGGTAAGGAGGTTTTTCAACCACACAAGTTCACATGTTCCAACGGCCATAGATCGATATTCGGCTTCTGCACTTGATCGAGCAACAACATTTTGCTTTTTACTTTTCCAAGAGATTAAGTTGCCACCAAGAAAGATACAATATCCAGATGTTGATTTTCTATCCCATGCACCTGCCCAATCTGCATCTGTGTACCCAATAATTTCAAGGTTTCCATGGTCTTTGTATAACAAACCAGTAACAAACCAGTGCCTGGAGATTTTTTAATATATCGTAAAATCCGAATGGCAGCTTCCCAATGACTTTCACGTGGAGATGCCAAGAACTGACTAACAACACTTACCGCAAAAGAGATATCAGGTCGAGTTACAATTAAATAAAGTAATCTTCCAACCAATCGTCTATATTTTCCCGGATCTTGGATAAGCTCCCCCTGGTCTGGTAGGAGTTTGATATTTGGATCCATAGGAGTGTCAAGAGGTTTGCAATTCATCATACCTGTGTCTTCTAGTATATCCAATGCATACTTTCTTTGTGATATGCAAATTCCTTGCTTGGATTGTGCTACTTCAATTCCCAAAAAGTATTTTAACTTCCCCAGATCTTTTGTTTCAAAATGTTGGAATAGATGTTGTTTCAACAATTGTATTCCTTCAACATCATCTCCTGTAATGACAATATCATCAACATATACAACAAGATAAATGCTCTTACCATGTTGATGTCTATAAAAGACGGAATAGTCAACTTTGCTTCGATTTAAACCAAAATTTTGCACTACTATGCTGAACCGTCCAAACCAGGCACGAGGAGATTGTTTTAGACCATAGAGAGAACGTTTGAGCTTACAACCAAGTTACTCTCCCCCTGAGCAACAAACCCAGGAGGTTGCTCCATGTAGACTTCTTCCTCTAAATCTCCATGCAGAAAGGCATTTTTAATATCTAACTGATGCAAGGGCCAATGATGAACGGCAGCCATAGAAAGAAAGATTCTGACCGAAGCAATTTTAGCTACTGGTGAAAAGGTGTCAGTGTAATCAATCCCAAAAACCTGTGTATATCCTTTAGCTACCAGTCGAGCTTTAAGTCTATCAACCTGTCCATTGGGCCCAACTTTCACAGTATAGATCCATCGGCAACCAACAGTTGTTTTACCTTCGGGTAATGAAACTAACTCCCAAGTTCCCGATGAATGAAGAGCAGCCATTTCATCAATCATAGCCTGACGCCAACCAGGGTGGGAAAGGGCTTCTTTAACAGATTTAGGGGCAGAAACAGAAGATAAACATGTGATAAAAGCATTATATGAAGGTGAGAGACGATCATATGAAATAAAGTTGTATATGGGAAAGGGATTTCGTGATGACCTGTTACCTACACGACTTGCAATAGGAGAGCTTGTTGCCGGAACCGGGTTCGAGGGCATAGATAGCTCGAGAGATGAATCAGTTGGGATTTCATCGATTTGAACTGTCGCAGGTGGTCGAGAGCGGCGATGATAAGTGTAAGGAAAGGGGGTAACACCGTTGTTTTGTAAAGGAGGTTCAGTAGGTGAGGGACTAGGATTTCTAGGTGATGACGGATCTTGAGGTAAATGTACCTCGGTCCCTCCTTGAAAAGTAGGAACAGGAAGAACATCAGGAAAATGAGAGATGGAGGTCGGTAAACTAGACGAAAAGAAAGGTGTTGATTCAAAGAAAGTAACATCAGAAGATACATAAAATCGATGCTTATCAGGAGAATAACATCTGAAACCCTTTTGCAACCTAGAGTACCCAACAAACATGCATTTTAAGGATTTTGGAGAAAATTTATCACGCCCTGGGGTAGTGTCCCGGACAAAACAGGTGCACCCAAAAATTTTTAAAGGAAGAGTATGAAGAGGCTTATCGGGAAATAAAATATTATAAGGTATCTTACCATGTAAAACAGATGAAGGCATACGATTTATTAAATAACAGGAATGAAGGATAGCATCTGCCCAGAATTCTGGAGGGACTTTATAGTGAAGAATCATGGTGCGGGCTGTTTCAACGAGATGCCGGTTTTTACGTTCAGATACCCCATTTTGTTGTGGAGTATCGGGACAAGATGACTCATGGAGGATGCCCGCTGAATCAAGAAAGTTAGATAAAGGAGTTGTAAAGTATTCTCCAGCATTATCACTTCGTAAAGTTTTAATAGACACCCCAAACTGATTCTTTATCTCATTAACAAATTTTTGAAGAACATTAAGTACTTCAGAACGGTTTTGCATTAAAAAGACCCATGTACAACGAGAAAAATCATCAGTGAAGGTAACAAAATATTTAAAACCAAGAATTGAATTATAACGAAAAGGTCCCCAAACATCAGTATGAACTAAGGAAAAAGGGAAAGCAGCTCTTTTATTAACACGATTAGGAAACGATGTTCTAGAATGTTTGCCAAGCTGACAGGCTTCACACTCTAGGGTAGATAAGTGAGACAAACTAGGGACAAGTCGCCGTAATTTTTTAAGGCTAGGATGTCCTAGACGGTCATGGGCAAGGGAAGGAGGAATGGTAGCAGTGCAAACTGTAGAAGGGTTTGGGGTAGATAATCGATAAAGTCCTTCTGATTCATACCCTGAGCCAATCATCTTCCCCGAACGACGGTCCTGCATAATGACAGAATCAGAAGAAAAAGTGACCGTACAGTCCAAAGATTTTGTAAGTTGATAAACAGAAATTAAATTGAAAGGACAGTTAGGTATATAAAGAATTGAAGAGAGAGGCAAAGTAGGAAGGGGGGAAGCCTTTCCAATTGCAGTAGCCGTACTCTTGGACCCATTACCGAAAACAATAGATGGAAGGGACTTAGACTTGGTGAAATGAGAAAATAAAGATGAGTTACCAGAGATATGCTCAGAGGCACCTGAATCGATAACCCATGGTCCGCTCAGACCAGATTGTGATACAAGGGCAGTATGAGTTCCATCAGTGTAGGCTGCAGGAGTTAAACCAGAAGCTTTGGGAGTGGCTTTAAATCGAACAAACTCTTCATACTCAGCAGCGGAAATGGTTCGAGAATTTGGTTCCCTAGGTTGAGATTGAGCAACACTTGCTTGCGTACGTACCGGTCTCCCATGAAGTTTCCAACACTGATCTCGTGTGTGCCCAGTTCTATTACAATAATCACACACTCTAGTGTTTTTCTGTCCACCACGATTGTTAGTTCGTCCACGACCTCCTTGTGTGACTAGAGCAGATTGTTCGGTAGTGGATGTGTGAGTACCCGGAATGGAGGTGACCTGCAAGAGCCGTTTGAACAACTCGGTGGTCCCCGGGACAATGTTGCTTCCAAGAACTTGATTCCGGATGCTTTCAAATTCTGGACCTAATTTGGTTAAGAGAAGTATGACAAAGAATTTCTCTCGTTGGGTAAGTTGCTCTGCGGGTGTACCACCAATAGGCATGAGTGTACCAAACTCAGCAATCAAACTTTGGGCTTTGCCAAGAAAAGTTTCCATATCAATACCATCTTTCTTCAAGTTAACCAAATTGTCAACAACATTATAGAATTGAGAGACATCATTAGTGTACAGAGATTGAGCTTGACTCCACACTCCGACACATGTCTTAAAGGGCCGGAATAAAGGCAACAATTGTGGAGAAAGAGACTGCCAAAGGAGACTACAAAGTTGAGCATCTAACCTTTGCCAAACTGTCTTTTCTTTTTCCGGTATCATATCCACTTCTTTTTGCAAGTGGTCAACAACACCTTGGCCCATAAACCATAATTCTACGGCATCCGACCAAGAGTGGTAATTTTGAGAACCACATAATCTTTCAGAAGTGATTACCGGGTTTCCAGACAGATTAGGCACATAAACAGAGCTCGAAGAAGTAGATAAATTATTGGCAGGAGAAATAGTACCCGAATTATCAGAATTTCCGTCGGAAGACATCGTGACCAAAAATAAATCTGATTGCACGGAAGGAAAGGAGGAGAGCCGACGATACGATCTGGAAAATCTCGCCGGAAAATGCCGCCGGAGATGGCCTCACGCGCCGGCGCGTGGTGTCGGAGCGCCGGCGACGCGGTGGCGCGTGGAGGAGATTCCGGCGACCGGAATTAATGGGTAATGGTCGCCGGAGGATGGGTAAGGCGGCTGTAGTACTAATTTGATAAAATATCTCACCAATAGCAAGTAATTTGAAAAATTAATTTCGAATGAACAGTAACATGTACTGTTCACCGGAAAAAAAATTTCAAATTTTGACTTTTGGCTCTTGATACCATGTTGAGAAAGAAGATGTAGAAGAAGTTTTTATTACTTGCTTGTCTCAATGAGGAGACAATAGATAAATATATACAGACTAAGAGACATAATCCTAATAGACACAACCCTATACAACTTCAACAGCTATATTTCTACAGACACAACTTTTGTGTTTCAACACAGGAACCCATTTTCAGACCTCTTCCAAGCCCTAACCGTGTTCAAACTGTAAAACCATGGATCGCTATTTCTTCATATGGGTATTTAGCAGTGTTGAATTGAAATCGAGTTCGGAGCTTGAGAACCCAGTTAGTGCCGATGATTTCTGGAGAGTTTCCTACAATTTTGGGACCTACGTTTGCTGGAAAAGCCACCACTGTTCTTAAGAGGATACAGTCTGATACAAGCAAAAGCAGGTTAAGCTCCGACCTTAATGCTTCATTTTGTAATTCTTTGTCTATGTTTCTGTCACCTAAGGAGGAGATTTGGGGATTTAGCTGTCTGTGGCGTAAAGAATTTGGAGATTTTGATTTATTATACACAAAGCATGCTAAAAGACTGTTTTACCCGTCCATTTGAGGTTCACTTAACCAGCTTGTGATGGAAGGACTAACATTGGAAACATTTTGATAGTCAAGTGTCTAAATTGTCCAAATTAAAAGTCGAGGATCAATTGTGGAAAATCACGATAGTCGGAAGACCAATGCTGGAATTAACTCTTTCTCTTAATATATCCAAATAACATTAAAAAGATGTTGAATAGAGGGTCAACTAAGCCATCGAACTAATCTCAATAGTGCAATTGAGCCCCAAAATCAAGAAAAGTTCCAATTGGACCTTCAAACTTGCAAAAAAGTGCAATTGACACTCTTAGCCAATGGTAACCACTAACCTATTGACTAGACATGTGGCACGTCTCTTTTAGCTGATTTGGCTTCCATGTGTACTTTTAGGGCTGATGTGGTGTGCGTTAAATTTCAAGAACAACAACAACAACAACAACAATAATAATAATAATAATAATAATAATAATAATAATAATAATAATAATAATAATAATGACAACAACAACAACAACAACAGCATTTAGGGCTGATATGCTGACAAGTAATATGCATATGTCATCACTAACTACATAGGTTTCTGCAAATCAGATGTGTTTCCAGTGAATGTTGGCATGTCATATGGTCACTCAGCACTGCTTTTGTCTCTTAGGAAGAAAGGCTTCCAAGCTTTACAACCACACTCATTCACAAAATTAAATCTACGATCTACCTAATGTTAACAAATCAAGTGGAGCTGTTATTGAATTGTTGATTAAGACAAATGAGCTTGATGCAAGCACAAAGTATACTCTGAGCTATTAGCAAAAGCTGTTGGCAAAGCAAAGGAAGAAATTGAGAGAGAAATTTGGTATCCTAAATATTTCTCAGCAGAAGAGGCTGAGGAAAGCAAGTGGCTACTGGCTCTAGGTTTAGGTAGGTAACTTAGTGAGCAACCATGACTGTTGAACCTTGAAACTAGTTTTACCCAAATTTGAAAAATGAAGGGGATGCTTACTTTTGATATTTGGTAATTAAAGTATCTGGTTAAAGGCATGCCAATTGCATTAAATTTTCTATAATAATTGGTTCACAAGATAAATAGCGCTGGTATATTTTATACGAAATTGTGCTTTTAAAGTATTGTGAATCAATCCCAAACTACTTGACTTAAACCAAAACACACACACACACACCCCCCACATTAGTCCCAAAAGTACAGATAGAAGCTAACTTAACAAAATCAGTTAAGAGAGCCACATCACATGTCTTGTCAATAGGTTACCTGATGTTAACATACTAAAACTCCTAATTGCACTTCTTTTGCGAGTTTGAGGGTTTAACTGAACTAGTAACTCTGCTGATGCATCAAAAGAGAGGAAAAACACCATGGAAAAAAGAACAAAAAGATTCTTTCTATAAAATTATGAACTTCTCATAGAGCATGAACTGCTCAATACAGGACATTCTAAGACATGAACGTTCAATTACAAACTTACCATCATGTCTGGAAGTGGCATCTTAACCTTTGTGAGCATAATTTCGGTATTGTTGGCCCTCCTCAGGTCAATCTGCCAAAAGAGTGAAAGAAACAGAATGAACTAACAGATTGAAAACATCATCAGAGTGGGAAATGGAAAAGCAAAAGATAGAGAAATAATCACAATATTCCCTATATATCCCCAACCCAAAGCACTTACCAATAAACAAGGAGAAAAATATAAACAAAATAAAATTCTAGAACAGAAAGTCAAAAGGTTTTTCAACCAAACCCTCACTACAAATCAACATAAACAAGCTAAGCAACAGATAAATGAAAAGAGGAACTTCAAGTGTTTTTTAAGCAATGAATTTATTCACTAAAGAAATGATTAATCAAAAGAAAAGGATGCTCAGACATTTATCATGAAAGCTGAAGAGCAAAATCGTATATTTTCAGACTTTCAGTAAAGAAGAGCCAAATTGTTCAGTTAACTATGGATAGCAAAGCACTACTTATTTGGCATGGATTTCCAAAACCAAATTAAACAGGAAGTCCGAAGCTTAGTTTCTGAGATTAAAAAAAAAAAAAAAAAGAAAAAAAAAGTCCAAAATCCATGAGCTATTATAATTTCAAAAGGTTAATTCAAAAACTAAAACTAAAAATGAAATGAACAACTGAAAAGAAAACCTATGGCATGCGTATTAGAGAGAGAATCATTAAGCAAATAACAAACTCATTCATAGAGGGTGTAGGAAAAGATGTGCTGAAGGAAAAGTTAAATGGAAAAGTCAGGTTGCCGCTAACTGATCATTATGAATATTATCCAACTTTAGATACTGAATTCATATTACATTACCAGGTGAATTTTGTCAGGTTTAGATCCGACAGCCTTCTGTTTTCCTCCAGACTTGTCTTTACTAGATTTGGGGACTGTGGCAGAGAAAAGAGCTTCAATTTCCTTCACATCAATTTCTAGTGCACTGAATTGGAGCAAGAAAAAAATTAGTAAGTTTAATGAGATTGAAGAACAGTACTTATAGTGAACTTCAAAAGCATGGATTAATACACTTGAGGCTCTCCACGTCTTTGTAATTCCTCCCACCAGCTCCGTTGTAGTGCTCTGGCTACGTTATTCCAACACAATTCCTTAGATCTTTTAGCTGTTCCAGCTCTCCCAGGAAGTCCACGCCCTCTTCCAGGACCGCCTCTTCCAGGTGGTGGAGGTGCCCCTCCAGGAGGTCCAGGAGCACCTTGTGGAAGAGGAGGTCCAGGAGCACCTGGTGGAGGAGGAGGTCCAGGACCACCTCCGGGAGGGGGTGGTGGAGGGGGTCCTCCTCCAGGAGGGAGTGGTGGAGGGGGTGCTCATCCAGGAGGGAGTGGTGGAGGGGGTGCTCCTCTATGAAGGGGTGGTGGAGGTGGTGCTCCTCCAGGAGGGGGTGGAGGAGGTGGAGCTCCTCCAAAGATTGGAGGGGGTGTCAAAGGTGGTACTCCACTTCCAAGAGAGGGTGTTTGAGGTTTTTCTCCACCTACTAGAGGGGGTGGGGGTGGTGGCGGGGGTGCTCCAACTCCTAGAGGGGGTGGGGGAGGTGGTGCTTCACTTCCTAAAGAGAGTGGAAGTAGTGGAGGTGGTGCTGCATCCTCTGGAAGGGGTGGGGGTTTTGGTGCTTCTTCGAAGGTTGGAGGGGGTGGTGGTGGTGGTGGTGGTGGAGCTCTACATGTGGGAGTAGTAGTTGGTTGTGGAGGTAGTGTTATGATAGATAGTGGAGAAGGTTGAACACCTTGGTAAGGAAATGATGGAAGAGCACCTATAGCACCACATGGAGGACAACAATGCGGAGAAACAGGAAAACCCTGTAAATTATTTAGGAGTGGTAGAAACAGATTAATTAGGGGCTGTGATGGAGGGGCTGAAGGAAGTGGATCAACCTGTAAAGGAAGTAGGGGCTGTGATTGAGGCAGCTGTGGAGCAGCTTGTATAGGAAGTGGAGGAGGTAGTGTTTCATCCTTTAATGGCAAAGGAGGAGGTGGTGGTGTAGATACTAGACTACCTTGTGAAAGTGGTGGGGGAGGAGGAGGGATAAGAGAACTGTGTACAAGTAGAGGCGGACTGGATGCTCCAACATTAGTAGATTCATGTAAAGGTGGAGGAGGAGGTGGTGGTGGAAGTGGCGGAGAACTTGATACTACTAACGGGAAAGTGTAGGAAGATACACTCGTCTGGCCTAATGAGGGAGATGAGGAAGGTGACATTGGCAAAATCTTATAATCATTTTTTGCACTAGTTGTGGGAGGTGGGTGTGGAGGAGTTGATGTTGATGAAGGAGGAGGCAGCTCAAAAGAGGTACTGAAAGGAGTTGTTTCTGATGCTACTACAGTTTGAGGAAGGGCTGGGGGCTGAGCTACAGGTAGAGGTGGAGAAGTAGTACCAACTGCAACACAAGTAGAAAACAGGAGCAATGTTGGCAGAGGGGGTGGGGGAGGAATTAGGCCAAGAGAGGAAACTGTTGTACTGTGGCTTGCTTGTTGTGGGAAATACAGAGTTGGAAGAGGGGAAGAATTTATCTCTGCTAGCTGCTGCTCATATGGCACTTGAGATGACAAAGAGTTGGTATACCAAGTTGGAAGTGGTGGGGGTGGAGGCGGAGGTGGATGCACTTGCAGATCTTGTGGCAGGGAAGTAGAAGAAGCAACAATTGATGCAATCTTTGCTGTTGATATATCTAAAGATGCAGGACAGGAGGAATGTTTCGCCACACAACCTGCCATGAAGATAGAATCATTGATTGGAGCAAAAATTTCTGGAGAAGCACAAGGAGATGGAGCCTTTGGTTTCCCCTGTGATTGAAAATCCTTATCAAGAGCAAGTGCAGGTGGTGCACTGTTACACCTTGATGGGGGGTCTGATACATGTATCAAATTGGTGTATGAGCCTTCACTAGAAGCCATCTGCCAAGATATTGTTTTTGGTTTTGCCTGTCTTGAAAGGCTTCCCTGAGATTCTTGCTGTTTAGATTCATTTTTTGCACCAAAAGGATCTACAGAAGTTGTTGAGTTTGCTAGTGGCTGTTTCTTTGGAGCAGCAGGGGGTACATTATCACACTGCTGCTTGTTACTATCAGCATCCATTTTCTGTTCAAGCCCCTGCCTTTCTAACTCCTGTGTGGATATACTCTCTTCATCTTGATTATTCTCCTCTTCATCTAACTTGCCATGAACAGGAAATACTGCCTGTGATTCTTGATGTTTAGATTCATTTTTTGAACCAAAAGCATCTGCAGAAGTTGTTGAGTTTGCTAGTGGCTGTTTCTTTGAAGCAGCAGGACTAAATTTGGGGTCCACATTAATAGAGACTAACACCTCATTTTCATTGCCAATAGGACTAGATTTTGATGCCCGATAATTAGAACCTATCCTGCCATCATGCCTTCGGGTTCCTTCATCAGATGCACAATCTAGAAAAGAGTGATGCTCCAATCCCTCCTTCAAGACTGGTTCAGAACTCTTATCATTCTGCACACTTTCACGAGCTGTGGGAGTATCAGAGGAGACCCTTCCCTCATGCCCATCGACAATGCTGCTGAATATCTCATCCACCTTAAAAAACTCGTCAGGTGAGGCAACTTCTGTCTCACTCTCATTATCTTCAGATGGTTCTTCTAATGTGATAATAGATGGAAGTGCATCAGCATCCAAAAAGAGAACCTGATACAAACATGAGTATACTTCAACTCCTATCGCTTTGGGGAAGGCAAAAAGGAGCTTGGAACTCTTATTGGATTTCACTAAAGAAGGATCCTGACCATAAACATGAACTACCGGACGGCTCCCCCTTCCATTATTGTATAGAGGAAGCAATCTAATTATGATATAGTCCAATTCTAACTTTCACATTAAATGTGCTTTAAATGACCATTCATAAGACACCATTCCAGGTAAGTTCAAAGTTCAAATACTGAGAGCAATGCAATCTGAAATAACTTTGGGACAGATAATTTTAATGGTTTTCATGTCATAGAACAAGAAATTCTCAGTATTTTAGCTAACTTGCTTCATGTCACTCAAAAGCAACATTCCTGTTAACTCCCCAAGAAAAGTTTCAACAACATTTTTATTGAAATGGGGGATAAGTACTCCGAGATGTAGCTAGACCCAAGCAACGATCACCAAACCGAAAAGACAAGTTCACAAAAAATTGAGCAAAGCAAAGCAAACCCAATGGCCAACACTAAGAACCCCCCAAAACATCCAAAAAACTTCACCAAATTTTCACATGCATTTACTAGATTACTAGAAAAATTCAGAATTGATTGCAACAGAGGATAAAAGGAAGTTACCGTAAACCCGCTCGGAGATTTCGAGCAGCCGATCCGGCGGTTTCTTATAGAAGAAGCGTCTGAACAGCGCCATCTAATGGCGCTGTTTCTTCCCCCAACCGTATCCAGAACCTTCCAATTCAATCTCCACCTTTCTTCCACTGCAACCGATCTCCCCAAATTTCCTAAATTCCACAGCGCAATGATCGAAAATCCGGCTATAATTCAGCTGCAATGTTCTCAATCGCCTTAAACCCAAAATGTAAAACAATTCAGAAAAAAAACACGAAAATCACAGCCAAGCTTCCAATGGCTCAATGGAAATTAAATTCCGCAGAAAGAGAAATGATATGATAGTAGAGAAAGTGCAATGTAGACAGAGCGAGGTAATGCAAACGAAAAGAGAATTTTAGGTTTAGGGTTTGAAAGGTAAAGCAAAGGGGAATTCGAAGAATTGATGGCATTTGATCGTTGACATTGTTTTAGGAACGTTGCATGCTGTTGAGAGAGAGAACGAGGTAAGAGAAGAGACGAGTGAACCGTAGTGGGCGGGCGATCGAGGACTCGGGTCCGGATTCCGAACCGGAACCAAACCGGACCCTTTTTTGGCGGGCTAAATTAACGGTGTGGCCGTTGCTTTAATGTGGCATGATCATTAAAAATAAAATAAAATAAAAATCTAATCCGTATGAATTAAAATCTCACGTGACTTTCATTTCATTATATAGAGTTAATTCAATTCCTCGTCCTAAATTGATAAGTGACAATCTACTTTTAGTTTTTCTTTTTGAAAACATCAATTTTTAGTTCTAGTATTAATGTAGCATGATCATTTTTGTCCTTCGTCAACAAAATCGTTGAAATATCGTTAAATAAAAGACCATTTAAATCATTTTTATACACAATGGGTTAACCCGCTATATTTTTATTTTTATTTTTTTGAAAGAAAATTACTACGTATAATTGAAAACCTAAATACCTTTGTACTTTACAAAACTTACATTGTTTTGTTGATGAATGATTAAAAATGATTATGCCACAATAATACTATGATCAAAGAAGAATGGTTTGAAAAAAAAAAAAAAAGGATTAAAAGTGAAATGTCAACTATAAACCTAGGACCAAAAATGGAATTAACTCTTTTATATACTATTCATATTCATCCTAGTTGTACCAATATATAGTGATGGCATGAAAGTACCACGTGAAATAATATATTAGGGGTGTTTCGTAAATAGATGTTAGCTGATAGTTGTTAGCTGATTGGGTTAGTGGATTTTACTAGTTGATTGTAAAAAAGTGTTTGGTAAATTAGCTGTTAGATATTAGCTCATTACATACAAAATGATTTTCTCAAACAATTAATCGAACCCCCTCTTGTATGGAAAAATCAATTTGGCCAATACTTTGCCCCTTAATTAGGCTAGCCCGGTGCGGATGAGCATTAGTTTGAGTATGGTATGTGCTTAAAGGTGCCTCCTACAGTTAGGGCTGCTCAAGACACCTTGTGGTCTAACCTAAAAAGCTGATAGAAAAGGCTACTTTGAGCAGCTTTTTGAATTTTAGCATTTTGGAGTAATAAGTTGTTTAAAAAGGCTAATTAATCAAACACTCATTAATTGTTTAACTAAGTCAAACAGCTAATAGTGGTCAAATAAGTCAAAATTGGCTTATAGGCCAATTATTTTACCAAATATGCCTATATGTTATCTTCTATAGCCTAATTTAATTATCGACTGTAGTGGTATTTCTCGATTTAACCATAAATATAATGACTTTTTGTGCTTAATTAGATCATTTACTTCAATGGTTTTACACAATTGACAGCATCGGCGGTTAGAATCAAAAACTAAATCGACAAAAATCACTACAGTCGATGACTAAATTGGGTAAAATCACTATAATCGAAGGTTAACTTGGGTAAAACTACTATAGTCGAAGACTAAATTGGGTATTAATAGATGTGAAATTACCAAGTTATCATAACAGGAGACTCAATTGAGTACAACTATCAAACTAGAGGACCTAATTAAGCACAAAAGTCGTTTAGGACTAAATCGAGAAAACCCACTATAGTTGATGATTAGATTGGGTATTAAGTTTTATCTTCTAAACTAGTCTTTTCTATGCATGATGCGCAAAAACATATGCCTAATATTTATATTTTTTAAAATACAAACAAATCCATAGTAATTAAAATCTATATGAAATAAAATTTATTTATTATGGGGCGTTTGGTTCACGGAATCTTGGATTATATATATATAGGATTATATTCAAATACAAACAGTCCTTAAAATATAAACGTGTGGATTGATTAGGATTATTAGATTTTGGAATTGGATGGCTAGGATTTATTTAATTATGTATGTAGATTTAATTTGACTGTGCGCCTGTTTTTAGGTTAAAGGGGGTAATTTTAGGTTTTTATTATTTTTTTATTCGGATCAAATTTTAAGAATTCAATCAGCATCAGATATTTTGTCTTTCCCGATCTCTCTCTCTCTCTCTCTCTCTCTCTCTCTCTCTCTTTACCGTACGGTTGTCGAAGACTTTCCCACGCCGTTCGATTCGCATTCTTCATCAGCAGCGGACGATGGTCGTTGGTGGGGACCGCAGTGGAGCCAAGCGACGGGAACCACCAACTCGGGGTGTAGGTCGAGGTATTTTTTGCTCCCTTTTGCCGTTTCTGGTTTTTTTTTTGGCTGGTTGTATTCTCTGTTTTTTTTTTTTTTATTTGTCGTCTGGTGGGGGGTGGGTGGCTATGCGTGTATTTTTCCATCTCAATCGACTTGTCCATATATATATATATATATATATATATATATATATATATATATATATATATATATATATATATATATATATATATATAGAACTGTTCAGGTGTGAACTTTTGTTTAGGTGTGAACTTGTGAACTGCTGCCATCCGTTCATCTTGGTATGATCAACGCTGGCGAACGAGGGTGCACGGCCCATTATGGGCGTTTTCGCACTGGATCGGAGCCCTTGTAGATGAAGTTGTGTGGTTTAGTTCCTCTTCGACTCAATCGCCCAGACCCCTTCTCAACCCCCGACTCTTTCGAGCGATGTGAACCCAATCAAAACACTGGATACCCAAGCAAAATTCTAGCGCTCAGACAAGTGATTTTGTTCCCCTTCGACTCAATCGTTCAGAGCTCTTATCAACCCGAGTGATTTTGTTCCTCTTCGACTCAATCGCGTAGAGCTCTTCTCAACCCGCGGCGGACTTCGAGCTCACATCTGAACACCATCGAGATCCTAGCGCTCAGGTAGTCGGAACAGCTTGCATGTCCCGGTCTAGTGGGTGTAGTCGTCGGACGAAGCGTGGAAGGGCCGGCCATCAATTGTCGCCGTTGACACCTCCGTCAGCATCGCGGTCGTTCAAACGGCGGTCCCATCGCCGGAGTTCCATCGGCCGTCCGAACGGCGGTCATCACAGCGGGAACAACTGGTCGGCGGCGGGGATAGCGGCCAGGGTGTCGGCACGAAAGAGGGTGGCGCGACGATTGGGGCAGAAAGGTTAGTCTTTTTAAATTTTGCCGGGGTGGGGCTTCGACGGTGTTTTAGGGATGTTCTGGAATTTGCTTTTTTTTATTGCATCAATTACAGTGTGTGGGGTGGGGGGTGCACGTAGTTGGCAAGCTAGGGAGAAGCTATTGCTTGGCACAGTGTAGGGATGTTGTAGCAACAGGATGCTTTACATGATGATATTACAGTGGCTAGGGTTGTTTTCAATGAAATAACTTAATCATCCATAAAAAATTCCCTCCAGGCTCCAAGAGAGATTGATGGGAATTTAGTAAATGCTTATCTTGTAAACATCTCTCCATTGCTATGGAGGAAACTTCCTATTATTTTTTTTTTTGTTTCCATCTTTTAAAATAAAATTAATATTTTCTGCCCTCCAGGCTCCAAGAGAGATTGTTGGGAATTTAGTAAATGTTTATCTTGTAAACATCTCTCCATTGCTATGGAGGAAACTTCCTATTATTTTTTTTTGTTTCCATCTTTTAAAATAAAATTAATATTTTCTGTTATCTGTTTATTTGTTATTATTTTAATGAGTTTAGGGATTCGTTTGACTTTGATCAGTGATAAACCAGTAAGCTACCGCCCTTTTAGGCATACATCCCACTAACAGTAGGGTGCTCTGTTTCCTTAAATCCCTTTGACTATGAGCTTAAGTGCGCTTATGTTATAAATTTCAAATTTAGTTGTAATTTGATTTAGTTATAAATTACAAATCAAGGTTGATTTAGTTGAATTTAGTGCACTTCAAATTTAGTCGTGTAATTTGAATCACAAGTAATAGGTCAATTTTAATTTGGTTTAGTTCTAATAATTGCACTTCAGATTTAGATTGATTTGATTTTCATGTATTCAAAGTACATTGTCATGAGTATAATTGAATACATTGAGCGTAAGTGCACTCATGTTATAAATTTCTTATTTAGTTTTAATTTGAGTTAGTTATAAATTCCAAATTTAGTTTGATTTAGTTGTAATTAGTGCACTTCAAATCTAGTTGTCTAATTTGAATCATAGTAGTAGGTCAATTTCAGTTTGGTTTAGGTTTATTTAGTTGTAATAAGTGCACGTCAAATTTAGTTTGTTTTTATTTCCATGTATTCTAAATACATTGGCATGCGCTTAATTGAATACATTGGGCCTAAGTGCACATACTAGAGCTTAATTGCATATATTGTCTGTGTAGTATACGGGCAATTCAGCCCTGGAAAATGCATCTAGAGTACATACAATGTTGTCTTGTACATTATTCCTTATATGTTGGAGTTTATATAATCTATTTGGTGCTCACGGGCTCTCGTTGCTGTGCACAGGCTATAATGACCAGCACCCAGTCCACCTAAGTGACGGGGACAGTGGGGAGGATGACGTTTTCCAGACTCCGCCGTTGGTGTTGGATGACGGTGTGGAGATGGAGGCACCGCGTGTGCAGCGTTCAACTGCAGGCCAAATCAACACACGGGGGTCGCCGAAGTACCTTGCAGACCTTGTGGCATCTCTAACCCTGAGGCAAAGGGAGGATCTTATAGGAGTTGGCCTTGGTGCGTTGCTGGGGTTTAAGATTACTGAGGTTCCGTTGCGGTTGGGCCATTGGCTGGTCACCAATTTTGACCCGAGTGAGATGCGGATTGACTTGGGGAATGGTCGGTACATTCCTGTAACCAAGAAGGATGTCTCCGCCGTGTTTGGCCTACCGTGTGGGCCAATACCCATCGCTGAAGGGGATAGCCAGCTGGTTAGCCCAGAGTTGCGGGATTGGCGTGACGTGGTGAAACAACAGAGGGGGAGGGTTACAGTTAGGGCGTTATGTGCGCGGATGCGGGAATTGACCGATGGTGGTCCGTGGTTCAAAATTCATTTCAGTGTTGTGGTGATGACCCTCCTCGTTGCGAGCACACCCAATGGATATGCAAACCAGAAAACTGTTCACGTCTTGAGTAGTGTGGATACGATTAAGGACCTCAATTGGTGTGAGTACTTGCTTCGCTCGTTGGTTACTACCCATCAGAGTTGGACAGGGGCGTCCTCTCGCAAATTCACTGGCCCACTCCTATTTATAGCTGTAAGTTAATATTCGGTTTGGCTGCATATCATCTTTGTGTTTTATGTTAGCTAATAATGTTGTCTATGTCTCTATTACAGCTCTTGTATTTAGATAGGGTCGTGGTGGGGGTGCAGGAGATCCCAAGGGCGATCCCGGTGGTGGGGGGGTGGACCACGGATTTCATCAAGGCACGCGTGCAGAATGAGCTTGAATCTGGGGGTTTTGGCAGGGGTATGATTGATGTTTCTCTATGTGCATTCCAGGCCGCAGCATCGTTGCGTGCTCGCGCTGAGAACGTGGTATGCTCTTCGATGGACCGTATTTTTCAAACATTTTTTTTTTTGAATCTGTATGTTAACATTTCGGTGTTGTGCAGGGGTTTAGGCAGGAGATCGCATTGATCAGTGCTGAGTTACGTTCGTTGACTACACGTGTTGGCGACTTGGTTTCTAAGCACCCGGATGAAGTGAAGGAGGATTGCAATTTCCAGAGGGTGGTGGATTCAGTCAAACAGTTAGGGGATATTGTAAAGTTGCCATCCAAGGTAACTGAGCCAGCTCCTCAGCCGCCCGCCCCGTCGCCTTGCCGTGATGAAGGACCGCTAGTCTATGACGCAGACTTTATAAGGGAGTTGGACCAGGCTGAGTTGGCTGCAACCGGGGCTGTTGGTGTGTCCGATGTGCCAAGTTTTAGCTTGGGGTTGACGCAAGAGGTTGCCACACACAACCAGACGAACAACACGGCCCAACAGCCGGTCACCACTGCTCCACCTCCGCAGGTATACTAATGCATAATAGGATATGCTTTTGAAATTTTTAGAGGCTAAATTTTAGGCCAACAGTTGTAGGAACCTATCATTGCGAGTGGTGTATCTCATCCTGCGGTAGAGCGAACAGTTCCTCAGGCATCCGGGACTTATGGTGTGTTCGATGTGCCAAGTTTTAGCTTGGGGTTGACGCAAGATTGTGAAACGCACAACCAGACGAGCAACACGGGTCAACAGCCCGTCACCACTGCACCACCTCCACAGGTATACTGATGCATATAGGCGCTGTTTTTGAAAGTTGTGAAGGGTAAATTTTGGGCTAACTGTTGCAGGGACCTATCATTGCGAGTGGTGCATCTCATCCGGTGGCAGAGCGCACAATTTCGGGGGCAGCAGCTCGGCACCACGTGCAAGTGCCACTTGTTCAGCAAGGCCGGTCGTTGGGGATTTACTTCAGCCCCACGTTAGGTTACCCATCTACCCTGCTGCCGCACGTGTGTGTTCTGTGGATGTGGGTGTTTAGGGGCCCCCAGGTTGGACGGTAAGTGGCATTAATGTAGTTGAGTGCGGGGTGTTGGTCGTATAGTAATTATAATTGTGGGGTATTCTGATTATTGTTTTGGTCTCGTAGCGATGAGGTGCTGTTCCAATATGTTGACTGGACTGTAAAGTGGGCACAATTCCAAACCCTGAAGGAGGGGTCGAATGTGTCCAGGACTATTGTTGATGCCTGGTGCTATGTCATGAATGCCCGGGAGAAGGTGAGCACAACTGGCGACGTGACCCGGCTGTTTCTACCCACTAGCACGACGGTATACCATATTTCTTGCCTGTATACCATATCTTATGCTTGTGCACTAGGTGAACGGTGTGTTGCAATGCGAGCTCAAAGCCCTTCTAATTAGTGTTTGTAATATGCAGATTGGGACCGTTGATTCAACATCAGCCAGCGAAGATTCGAGGATCGCTTGGTTTGCGAGGCGCATGGATGTGGAGTTGGGGAGGATGGGCCGCAGGCAGACCGACGATGTGGATATGGTGATGTAGCCTAGTATCTAATATAATTGCAACAACACATAACCTCAATCCACTGATCCTCCTTTTTAATCCCAATGCAGTTTGTTTTTCCAATTTTCAACAAGGGCACCTATTACATGATGGCTATCAATTTCAAGCCTCCTCGATTTGACATCATTGACAGTTCTTCTGCGAAGAAAACCAACAAAGACATGTATGGGGGGGCTCCGGAGGACCTGGTATGTGGCTTTGTCTTTGTGCTTTTTATTATTTTGAGGCTGCAGTAGTGTACCTAAAACAGTAAAAATAGGGTGTACAATGTCTATGGGTGTTTGCTGTACTTGTAGGTTAGTAGAACTGTTAAAAACATTCGTAATTCATGTGAGAAAAATCAGTATTAAGGGGGTCATATATGTGCTTATATTGAGTATTATCTACATAAGACACTTTATTAGGTGGCACTAGATCTTGTGGTGCGGTACAGTAGTTTATTTACTTGTATTTATGTTTTTAAAGGATAGAGGGTGTTTTTTTTTTTTGGTTGGTTTGAATACTGTGTAGTATCATGAACTACAAAAAAATTGACCAATTATTTTAGGTAGCACTAGATCTTGTGGTCCAACATTTTATTTATTTGTATTTATTTATTAAAAGGAACAAGGGGGAGGGGCTTTGCAATTGAAAAGCATGCACACCAAAATTCGCATGCATGACAGTGATTATAAGAGAGGATAATATTCTGTGCACCTGCATATCACTCCATATTTTTGTACATGCCAAATTACATATAAATGGGATGGGTTATGCCCTCAATTTAAATTACTATCATCGTTATTTAATGATCTCAGTGTGGTGCAGATCATGTGCCTAGGAGCGTACCTGGACTCTAAGCTGCAGGGACTTCGCAGTGCACGCCTCCAAATGATGAAACCAAAGAGGATGCAGATGTCGTGGAGGGATACCACGTCAACATCGGAGTCGGGGGTCTTCACGATGCGACACATGGAGTCATATGCCGGGCAGGGGTATGCGAGCTGGGATTCTGGCCTGGTGCGGGGGGATGCTATGCAACTACTAAACTTACGGCAGCGCTACATGCATAATATCCTGCTCAGTGTGGTAAACACTCATACAAACAAGATTGCAGCACGCGTTGCGGGGTTTGAAGGTAAAAGGTTGGCAACTATGCATCGGTGATCGTTACGGGGTGATGGGGTAAATACATTTTAGCTAGTAGGTAAACCTCCAATCTGGGTGGGGGTTTTCCTTTTTTGTGTACAGCAGGTATTTAGTATCGCAGGCAAGGTATGCTTGGATGTTTTGATTAAATTATCGCAGGCAGGGTATGCATCAGCGAACTATAATTTTTTGCTAGAATTTTTTGAGAAATAAGGTGGTTTTCCCAGTAATTATCAATTCCTTGTTGCTATTTGTTATTTAGTGATCTGGTCATAAACCAACGGCAGCGCACTACTAACAAACCAGAGGTGCACCACCAATAAACTCAATGTTGAAAAATTCCAGAATGTTTCATTGCATATATATTATATAATTTGCTCAGTTTTGGAAATTTCCCTCAATTAAAAAGGAAAGACAAATTGGGTATCATATGCACACTATTATGCACTGCCAACCGAGTATCATATATTATGTATCTATATATATGTATCATTCTTAGGGGCCAACTTGAGATGGGCACTATTATGCACTGCCATTCAATCAAATGCCTTTTTATCATTTGGGTAATATTCTTTGTGCACAATCAGTACCACAAATGCACTATACTAAACAACCCCTACTAACAATTCGGTAGGGAAAAGTGATTAATAGACAAGCAACACACTGGAAAACAGTTTCAACCATCCACACAAAAAGTTGTGCGATCAAATTCAACATTAATTGTGAATTGTTATGCAAGCTGAATTGAGCACCGTAATGGTTTAAAAATACCAATGCTATTTAAATGAGGTAAACGAATTGCATACAGAATTTGTAGCTAATCTAAAGTTGAATTAAAAATAATGTAAACAGACTCCAAATTTGCTAGCATGCTACTTTGATGGACAACTACGAGCATTATGGCGGGCGTATTTGCCACAAATCCCGCACTTTCGGCCGGGTTTCACATTTTTCTCAATGGCTAACTCCCTATTGCTTTTAATGCGTTTCCCGGTACCTTTGTTTTTTGCTTGTGCTGGGGCTTGGATTGTTATGGATTGTGGTGGCTCCACGCCACATAATGCCTGGATTGCAGCACGGTTACCCTTAACCGGGGTCACAGATATACCGTCACTAGCAAATTCTGCAGTAAGACCCTGAAGTACCGCCACCATCCGTGTTTGCCGTTCGATGCTATTACCTACTAACCCAACGCACGTGTTTGCCGTTCGGTTGTTGCGGGTGTGGGTTTATCACCATCAGACGGGAGGCCCCTGCATGCACCACAGTTTAAGTGTTTGCACCAACGGCTAACAATGTACTCGGCCGGTAATTGTTCCAACTGGGCACCCCTGAAAACCACAAACATATGTCGGCATACTAGGCCCATTCTTTGAAACAACTTGCAGCTGCATGACGTTCCAATACCACCTACCTTGTAGTGCACGGTCGAAATAATGGCGCACTCACCATCAATGTCGTAATAAGTGTTGTCCCCATCTTGTCGTACACCGACCACAGAACAATAAAAACAAGTAGCTTCTATTTCTTTCTGTAACTCGTAAAAAATAGTGATTGTGAATAGCTGTGCAATATGTCGCTCGAGTGCTAAAGGTGTTTTAAACTCTGGCAGGTATCCCTCGCACTGTGCGTTCAATTTATCTTGCCTGTAGCGTTGTGTTCCCAACACGCTCTCGAATTGCATGTAGAACTCTACCAAACTAGAATGTGGGCGTGTGAATTTACCGTATACGCCATTCTCTGCTTCTGATCGTGATGTGGTACGCAACAACCCACTCATGGGCAAATCTGAAAAAAAAACCGGGATCCAACTATCTCGTTCCGCATACATTTTGCAAAACCAACGGTGGGTCGATAGATTGTATTCATCCATTAGTATTTGCCATTTCGCCTCAAATTCCACACGGTCGATTGTCTCATTCCAAACGATAGCATTTAGTTTCTTGCGGAACTCATTGTCCTTAGCTAACTCACTGCCGAGCTTTTCATTAACCTTTGTCATGATGTGCCACATACAGTAGCGATGGCGGCACTCTGGTAATACTCGTTCGATAGCAATTCGCATAGCGGGGTCTTGGTCGGTCACAACACACGCTGGCTTCTTTCCCATTGCACATATAAATTGCTTCAATAACCAGCTATATGAGTCAGCGTCTTCTTTAGTCAACAGACCGGCCACGAAAGTGATGCATCGCTTGTGGTTGTCCACACCAGTGAACGGCACAAACACCATGCTGTACCTGCACAATATGAAGTGATGTGTGACGTGCCCAAAAATCAATTCACAATACGGTCATATATACAGTAGCGATAGGGGTGAAATCTCCAACCAAAAAAAAAAAAAAAAAAAAAAAAAAAAAACCCAAAAAAAATAACATAACAGAAAAACAAAAAAATTATGATTTTCCATTACCAGTACTGTATTGCTATTGCCATTGCATCAAAAAATTAGTAATTTCCAAGGCAGTTAGTTAATATATTTCTTGCAATATAGTTAATCCCAATTAGTACTGCCTTGGAAATGGCGATGGCAATACAGTACTGCCTTGGGAATTAGTAATTGCAAGGAAATTACTATGGAGTGATTAACTAATCATTTGCTAATCATCTGCTAATTTGGATTTCCAAGGAATTTATTTAATATAATTTGGATTATAAATTATAAAGTATTATATTTGATTAGTACATGTTCGTGCCATAAGTTGCATCGAAAGATATGTTGTCGCCATAGCAAGAAAATTTCCGCCTGCTGAGGGGGTCAGCCCAGAATAGTCGTGATACCCGGTGCTCTTCATCCAGATCATATTCAAAGAAGAAGTCACTACAAGCTTCGCGCTTTGCCTTGAATGTTGCAATAATCATCTCGCCATCAGCTACATCGACGTAGCTTTGGACGTCCCGTTTAAAATTGTGGAATTCAACGTCGGTTGCACCGATATTAGCATACGATCCGGTCGCCTCTTTGCAGAATCGTAATCCTGTTGAAGAACCAATGTTAGCTTTAACACAATTACTTAAAAAAAGCTTGTTGGACCACATTGAGTTGTCGGTTAATTCGCATAAAAACTTTTGATGGCTCTGAGCATAACTTGTGGGTGTGTTCCTCAACCAAAACGACCACTTTGAACTCGCCGGAGCCTTTTTTTGTAAAGCCGATCTTGGCTCCGCAATTAACTCTATTAGAAAGACGACGGCGCCGCTCCCGCTTCTCTCTCCCACCTAGTACCCGCTCATTACCGGGAGGTTTATTACCACCACCTTTCACCCCTTGCCGACTACACACCAAATAGCGAGTAGATTTTCCCGTCTCGGTCGCGCTTCACGGAACTCTGGCGGACATCAAACCCGCTCATTCGAGCGTAGTTGATATAGCACTGGATACCTTCGTTGAGTGTTTTAAATACACGCCCCTGCGTCGGCCTCATGGAAGCGTTCACGATGGGGGTCCATTGTTGTTGGCCAGTCGATGTTAAACCCATAGCAACGCCTGGTTCAGTCTCGGTGTCCGTCATCATCGCGACGCCTTCTGCACAAACACCGATCGGATGTTACGGGGGGAACAAAAACAGTGCGGTAGCGATGCATGGGAATAATTATTCACAAACCTGTTACGCCGCCGGCATCGGGGTTGATTGTCGTCATCCTACGTTGTTCGCGCACGGGTGTTTTACGGAAGAGGTGTTCGAACCGCAGCAGTGTTAATCTCAATTCAAATGCTTGGTGCGTGGGAGGGAGAAGTCTGGTTGCTCTTGGACACTGGGTGTATCACATATTACGTGGTGCAAGGGGGGTGATGTGCGGATGTTATCTTGGGCCTTAGGATTAAGTACATCAGCGCACTGGATTGGTTCACAAGTTCACATGTTAATAATGGTTCACACCAGAAAAATAGCCTATATATAGTTGAGTTCAAATGAGGACCACTATATTATAGAGGACTGTGCGGACTGGTGTAGTCGTGTGCCATTAGTCTGTATTTCGTGTGCATAGATTTATTAATTAATATAGCCTGGGTTCGAAACCTGATGTTTACATGTATTCTTGTGTACTAAATTGTGTGTATGGTACTAATTTGTTGTGTGCCCGTAATTAGTCTACACAGTCCTCTATATATTGTGAACCTCATGTGAACCCAACCCTATATATATATATATATATATATATATATATATATATATATATATATATATATATATATATGAGGACCACTATATTATAGAGGACTGTGCGCACTGGTGTAGTCGTGTGCCATTAGTCTGTATTTCGTGTGCATAGATTTATTAATTAATATAGCCTGGGTTCGAAACCTGATGTTTACATGTATTCTTGTGTACTAAATTGTGTGTATGGTACTAATTTGTTGTGTGCCCGTAATTAGTCTACACAGTCCTCTATATATTGTGAACCTCATGTGAACCCAACCCTATATATATATATATATATATATATATATATATATATATATATATATATATATATATATATATATATGATCCTATGAGAACACTTATTTAGGTGAGAACGTGAGAACAAATCGTGTGTATCCATCTAATATTTTTTAATGGTCTAGATTAGATTAAGTGTGTGCGAACGCGAATTAAATGTGTGCAAACGCGATTAAGTGGAGCACTATCATAAAATCAGAAATTCCATGTTTGCATTAGGACTAACATTGTCATTGCAATGAAATTACTAGCAACACCTAACGCTCCTCTTAGAGTTGAACATTGGAATAATATTCAAAATATCCTCCAAGTACCTTTGATTTATAAAGACTAGTATTTACACTAGTGCGATGCACGGAACTGAATTGTTGTAATATATTAAGAATATATGAATCGATATATAATTATTTAAATTATTAGAGCATCAAATATTATATAGTGCAATTAAAAATATGATTTGGATCGTTTATATATTTTGATGTTATCATTTCTTGAATTTGTGCAAATAATTGCTCAAATTAATAGTTAATGTCTAGATGCGGTGCCGGTGCTATAACTTTGAAGATTTTATTCATCATTGTTTAGTATTTTTATAAATCAGGCAAATGTGCTCGTTCTCTAACAACTTAATTATAAAAATGAATTGCTATCTTTATTCATTTGTATGGAAGATATTTTATTTTTATTTTTTTTGTCTAGCTATATAGCAATTTTTCATTTAAAAAAAAAAAAAAAACTTAATATCACCAAGTATATTTACATATTATTGAAACCTCTTTGTAGACGACATTGGTAGTGGCAACACAATCTTGTTCATCTTTGTCTAGAGCTAACACCTTCACTCTATCAGGACGAGTTAATTGGGTCAAAATATATAATGGTAGAATATCACTCAATTAGTTATCTTTTTATATTTTCAGTCAATTAGTAATATCAGATTCATTTTCAGTCAATTATTTTTTTTTTTTATTTTCAATCAATTAGTCAATTAGAATATCAAATGCAGTGATATTTTTACTTAATTTTTGTTCCATTTTTAATTCATGATGTAGATATTATTATTGAAATATTTCCGTTCAATTTTTAATTTACATTTACTATTTTTAAAAATATGCATTTACTATTGATAAAGTATAATATTATTATTGAAATATTTTCCTCCAATTTTTAATTTTCATTCTATTTTTAATTAAAATGCAATGATCTGACCATATACTTTTTTATTTTAATCAATTATGGATTATTTTTTATTTGTAGTCAATTATTAATATTCATTTCCTTTTATATTTTCAGTGAATTAGTAATATTAGATTCATTTTTTATTTGCAGTGATATTTTTACCTAATTTTTGTTCCATTTTAATTTGATGATGTAGAATATAATAACTCAATAATTTGCTCCAAACAGCAAAAAACTAATACAACACATACGTTTTGGGTTAATCTTTCACAACCCCCACTAATAATAAATAAATAAATAAATAAAACTAAAATAAGAAGACAAAACTAAGATTTCTTAAATAAGAACATTTTAACTTCTCAATACTTGCCCACGTTGATGGGCAAGCAATTATGTTTGTAAGAAGAGCATTGATCCTCTTATATAGAGGAGTTCTTTCATTTTAAACATTTTCAATGTGGGATCAAAATGATCCCACATCATTTACAAAGGTCAAAGGGAACCCGTAGCTCCCCTTTGTCTTTTTTTTTTTTAATATTTATTTTATATGTATATATATTTTTTGCTCCAAGAAGAGGGTATAACCCAAACAGAAACTAAAGATGGCCAAGAACTCTAGAGGTGTCTCTATGAACGCGTCTGGGTACATTTGCGCCAAGCTTGTCAAGAAGAAAGAGTTCTTGTAATTCTCGGGGAATCTCATCGAGGATTCGCAGGCCACAGGGGTGTATCAAGGCTGCCTTCGCAAGGCTGTCGGCAACCTTATTGCCCTCTCGGTACCCATGCACAAAGACTACCTCATGAAAGCATTCCGCTAGATGTCGACACTGGCGGATGACGTTACTTACCGCATCATGGATGTCCGACGGTTGGCGGAGAGCATCGATAACGCTCCGCAAGTCACATTCAACCACCAGTTTCTCCACTTTGTAATGAATTACCATGTAAAGGCCTTGTAATACTCCCCACGCTTCCGCCTCCATAGCTGAGCAACATCCTATATATATATTTATTTTATATATAGTTTTGTTTGGATTATTACTATTATTATTGTTGTTGTTGTTGTTATTGTTGTTGTTGTTGTTATTGTTGTTGTTGTTGTTGTAATTTGATTATTTGACAAATTCGCCAAAATTTTAAGAAATTCGTCGGTTTAACATTTTATATTTAATCAAAACACCAAAAATATTATTTAATTACTTAGCAATTTGCTTCAAACTGCTAAAAACTAAAACAACACATACATTTTGGGTGGATCTTTCCCAAACTCCCTAATAAATTTTTTTTAAAAAAAAAAAAACTAAAATAAGAAGCCATTAAGATCAGGTTTTTTAAATAAGAGCGTTTTGACACGTTGGGCTTCAATAGGTTGAGAAAGTTTATATGAACAAATACTACATGTAACAGGGTGAATCGAATAGGATCGCTATGTTGTGCATTCGTATGCCCAATGCATGGTGCATACGGATGCAAAAACGACGCTATTTTATTAAAAACGCACATCCCACTTAAAAAAAAAAATTCAGTTTCGATTCCCCTCAACAGCATTATGTTGTTCATTCATTCTGGAATTTTAGTTCATAGATTCTGAAATTTTAGTTCATAGATTCTGGAATTTTAGTTCATTGATTATGGATATTTAGACGTGAATCGAAACTGATATTTTTTTTTTCATTCATGCTGGATATTTAGTTCATTCATTGTGGATATTTAGTTCATTCATTATGGATTTTTAGTTCATTCATTCTGCAATTTTAGTTCATAGATTCTGGAATTTTAGTTCATAGATTCTGAAATTTTAGTTCATATATTCTGGAATTTTAGTTCATATATTCTGGAATTTTAGTTCATCGATTCTGGAATTTTAGTTCATTGATTCTGGATATATAGTTCAAATTATGCACAATATAATGTTGTTGTTGGGAATCGAAACTGATTTTTTTTTTAAGTGAGACGCGCGTTTTTAATAAAACGACGTCGTTTTTGCATCCGTATGCACAACATAATTTGCCAATCGAATAGTTATGATGTGGAATCGTGTCCAGCTTGCAAGGTAGACACAGTTTTATGTTCATAATTACTGAACTATATGTTCATAATTATGTTCACAACACTATGTTCATAATTATAGAACTATATATTCATAATTTTTGAACTACATATTCATAATTATGAACAATTTTAGAATCGTGTCTACCTTGCTAGGGGGAGACGATTCCACAGCATAATTTAACGGGTCAATAGTACTCAAAAAAAAAAAAAAAAAAAAAAAAAAAAAAAAAAAAAAAAAAACCCTTTAGACTTCTCAATACTTTCTCACATTGATGAAATGATGGCAAACAATTATGTTTGTTTTTCAAAAATATATATATATATATATATATATATATATATATATATATATATGTTTGTAGAGTAGCATTGCTCCTCTTATATAGAGGAGCTCAAGAGTTCATTTTCCAAATATTTTCAATGTGGGATCAAAATGATTCAACATTATTTACAAAGGGGAGCTCATGACTCCCTTTTGTCTTTTTTTTTTTAATTTTAATTTTAATTTTATTTTGTATATCCTTTTGTTTGGATTATAATAATAATAATAATAATAATAATAATAATATTTAATAGTTATTATTATTATTATTATTATTATTATTATTATTATTATTATTATTATTATTATTATTATTATTATTGCTGTAATTTGATTATTGATTATAATAACTCGGTAATTTGCTCCAAACTGCTAAAAACTAATACAACACATACATTTTGGTTTAATCTTTCACAACCCCCACTAATAATGAATAAATAAATAAATAAATAAATAATTATATATATATATATATATATATATATATATATATATATAATAAAAACTAAAATAAGAAGACAAAGTTAAGGCTTCTTAAATAAGAACCTTTTGACTTCTCAATACTTGTCAACATCAATGGGCAAGCAATTATGTTTATAAAAGGATTATTGATCTTCTTATATAGAGGAGCTCTCTATGTTCAA